GCTCGGCTCCTCCGAGAGGAGAGGAGCCAGTCTGGCGCCGTTTCAAAAGAAACGCTGGTGTTTCTCTGGGGAGAGCTCCCCGCTGGCGGGAAGTTACAGCGCTCCCGAGCGTCGCGGCCGCCTGCTACCTTCTGGGAGGGAAAGGAGATACGAACGGCGTGGTCGCTTACAGCACAGATTCAAAACGCAGGGAACTTATTTTGGAGCTGTATGAAAGAGGCGACGGTGTTTTTCCCTCTGCAGCTGAGGAACGGGAACCGCGGTAAGACGGCCGAGGTACAGGAAGAATATTGTCGGTGACAGAATTGCAAAGCAGGCGCTTCGTACTTGGGACAATAGTGATGAAAATGGAAAGGTAGAGAAAAAGCCAAAATATGAGCCGAAGAAGAGGAGAAAGGACAGCAGTTGGCTAAAACCGGCCAGTCTCTGGCGCGTACACAGATGTTTTGGGGCTGGCTCCACTGCTTTCTTTTATATACACAGGACGTGAGCATCAGCTACAGTAGCTGACAGATTAGCCAGCACTAGCACTGCCAAGAAACAAATTGCGCATTCTCTTAACAAAGAAGAAACAAACAGTAACTAACTCTTGAGATAGACTCTAACATATATTTCCAAAAGAGGATTACTGTATTAAGTACTAAACCCCTCTAATCCCATCTACGTTCTGAAAATGTTAGGGGTTTGGTTTTGCTTTTAATTTTTAACCTGTACCGAATGACACCCGGGGTCAATAGGAGTCTGAAAACAGGAAGTAAAGCAAGCCTTTGGGGGCAGCTGTGATGTTTTTCTGCCATTAGGAAAGTCCCGCGTAGACCGGTGCTGCTTCTGAGAAACTGGTCCTCAAAGGATTTGCTGCGGCTTGGCCCCCCCGGGCTCTCCGATCCCCATCCACCTGGCAGCACTACGACATTACAGGATTTCCTTTGCAGGAGTTACTCCAGACTCCAATCAGACTCAGGTCCTTGCATTTCATACACCCCCGTCCTAAAGAGTTCACAATCTAAAATTCAGTCATTACCAGTTTTCTCAATCTTCACTTTTTCCCTTTGCTCACACCCAGCCCAGCCTGTGCTACAATCCCCGTTTCAAAAACTAGCCCTTGTACATTTGAAGTAATATGCAGCAAGCCCCGCACATCTATAATCTTTATAAAGCTGCCTGTTTGACCTTAGACCAACTTACGTCAATGTCTGCATTATTAT